CATCCAAACCATTTTAAGTCTCTCTCTAGATGTTGGTTTAACCCCTAAATACACATTTCTGTGCATCAAAGACATATTTAGACGTTCTTCAATTAAAACAATAATTTCCTGTATTAAACAGTTTAGACGTTACTCCACCTATGACTCTGCTCAAACGCTGCAAAACTACTTTGTGCTGCACGATGGCAATTTGTAATATTGGACTAATCCGTCTGTACAAGTCTGGCGTCAAATATGACTACGAGTCCCACCCTGCAGGTTGACAGGATCGGTCCGTCGGGTTTCTTACCCCAGAAGTGTTTTTGAGACTGTCATTGGTGCCCTGTGGTTTGGAAATGCTCAGTCATGGCGCTGACGACTACGTTCTCTCATAATGCGTCGTAAACACATCATATAGTCGAGTAAGAAGGTAAACCAACAAGCTGATTTTCACTGAAGGGGGTTTTTAATTCAGTATGTACACAGCTTTTAATTACCTGTGTTTATGAAAAGCCCCATATGTAGTGTCTTGTGTCGTTGCACCTTGTGAGCTTGTTTGTGCTTTTAATCAACACTAATAAATACTTCTTCAATCTGTTCTCTCTTCATCAACACCTCTATTCATATATGAAGCCAGCAAGTGCATAAAATAATCTACACTTTATTGTCACTTACAATGCAGCAGATTGTTATTCAGGGTGGCTGTATCTCAGCGTGCCATCTTGTCTTTTGTTTGAGTCCTCAGGGTTTTTGTTATCTTGCCCACACAGATTATTGATTGCACCCCTTTTTGCTGTTATTTTATCTCCGTCTGTGCGTGCGTGCGCGTTTTAATCACTGCGCTTCGATGTGTCTTTTGCTGTACAAATGGAATAAATTGAATTGTAGGGGTCACAGCTTCCATTTAGATTCGCCTCTTGTCTATTTCAGTGGAAGAGCAGGTGGTCCGGATAGTCTGCGCGTTCCACATGAAACAGAAAACAGCTCCCGACAGCGGTGCCTCTGGCTTTGGCCGGACACTTCAACAAATAGCGCTGGCTGGTGGGAGGCCTGTGAGGGATCGCCTTTTGACCGCTCCTCCAGTGGAAGCCTTTGTGTGCTTTACACTCTTCTTATGTGACTCAGCGTGAGGGGAAAAGAAGTGGACGTGTCGTATAAAACTGGAAGTAAAAAGAAGACCTAAGTGTATGTAAAGTTTAGCTAATGTGACGTTAAGTATGGGACCCACCATTAAATGTCACCTGCACTAAACAGTACAGCTACACAAACCCAGAACATTTATTCTGCCTTCATCTGATGAAGCCACGTTTAATTTCATGAAAATATACTGTTGTTTGGAGATGATATAATCTGTCCCGTAACAAATAAAATGCAGCGGTTGCTTTGTGATATAAATCAAACTGCTGACAAACACTCTACGATGCTCTGCGCTCTACAACATAAAGCTGGAAGGAGCGTCTTCACATGTGTTTGGAGCTGCAAGCTGCTGCTTTAATAGCTAGAACTGGACACGCACAGTGGTCCTTAATTGCGTGTTGATGCTGATATTTCCTGCTGGAGTGTGAGGACACAGTAACCTGAAGACTCCATTTACTGACACACTTCTGTATCATAACAACCACAGACTTGATCAACTCAAGTGTCACTAATGTTAGCAGCTGATATGTTTACAGGGACATAAACACGACATTATGAGCTACACCGAACCAGTCTGCAGCATTTTAGTGGAATATCTGGTGAGTCATTGCAATCGCTTTGTCTTGTACTTTTAGGCAGCATTTCTTATTCAAAACATAAAATCTAGATCAAGTAATAACTGACTTATTTTAGCCACACTTCTACTTGGGGATGAATGATATATCAGTTGCTTTTAGTTTTTGGATCCTGAAGAAACGATCTCTCATCTTGTTTGTACAGCAAAATGACAATAAACCTGATGTGATTGATTTGGTTCGACTCTACATTTGATATTGCTGCTATTTCACAGATGTTTTCACTTAAATGATCCTGGACTTGAACGTTAAATATCTTAAAATTTGTTTACATTTGTTTTAAACAGTAAAGAAGACTATGTGGTCTAATTTAGGCTTCTTTTGAATAGTTTTCTCACAGTGCTTATACTCATTTTTCGGTGTAAACAAAAACTGATTATCGATATCTGTAATATTGATTATCAGCGATATCAGAAATCTTAATATCGGTATCGGTCAGAAATCTTAATATCGGTATCGGTCAGAAATCTTAATATCGTGCATCACTACGTTCACTTTTTTATTGAGAAATCAAAATGATGTCCATACAAATACAGATCAAGGCTGAATCAAACATCCCCTCTGTTCTGTCCAGCTTGAAGACGTGACTAAAAGGTTGCAGCACAGTTAAACCACGACTACCACGACTGAGCAGTGTGCGAAGGCAGAAGCGTTACCTGGACACGGGAGGATGCAGGCCTCCTTCAGCGTGATCTGCTTGTCCCCGTCCACGGCCAGCTCCAGGCTGCTGCACAGCTCCTCGTCCACCAGGCTGCCCTCGCCGTCGCCGGAACCATCCGACACGAAGCACGACAGGTTCCTGTAGCGCATGCCGTGTCCGCAGACCACGTTCTGAAAGGGGCACCACAGAAGAAGAACGAGGGCGGCGAGTTAGCGCAGCGAGAGGGAGGAACGACGCCGCAGTCGCTTGGTAACGGCTTAATACCAGAGAGTGGACTTCTGGCTATCTGCCATTTTAATTGACAACAAAAACAAAACTATTCAACTGGCTGCTGACCAATAAAGACACTGTGTCTAAACACCAATAAACAGAGTAAATAATAAATAATGCCATTTTCCGTGGTATTGATCTGGGCTTTTACAAAGATCACAGAAACATTATTACATGAAATGAGCGATTTAAACCTGCAGCCTGAGACGGACGCACATCACCTACATGTACATTATACAGCACCCTCCATAATTACTGGTTAAGATGTGCTTCTAGTAAATTCAGTTTTTTTTTCTAAATAATATCGGACCACAATGAAAAAAAAGAGGAAAATTCAACCTTTAATTCAAGTGCATTTATTCAGTGTGAAAAAAATCCCACATTAAAAAATAATTCTTTTACATCAAGTCATGTGTGCCACAGTTATTAGCACCCTTGATGTTAACCCCCTTTTGCCAACAATTCATTTGAGTTGAGCTGAAGGTCACATTTTTCTACAATTTTCAGTGTGAGAGGATGCTTCTGCAACAAAAAAATGAATTTATTTTAAGGCTTTTAACACATCTTAACAAAGGGTGCCAGTAATTATGGAGGGAGCTGTATATATGTATATTTAGCAATATTTACAACTTGTAGTGACGTCTTCATTTTTAGTAGTTTACATTATTAGTGACAGACATGAGAGATTCACAGGAAAGCAAAGCGGCCCATTGTTCCTGTTTTTAATTTGCGCCCTTTAATGTCACTCCCACTGTTTGCCGTTCACTCTCCTCCGACCGTACGACAGCTTTATTAGGTTACTGCAAACATTTCCTTTGAAGCAGCTTCAACTTGTGATAAATATTCAAGTGGTGAGCCATAGGGTAGCTTTTGTTGTACCACAGTCACAGTACGCCGCGACTAATTTGCCACCGTTGGTTAGCGCTAATCACAATCAGTCATCAGAAATCAAACAACACACGACCTGGAAATTTGTTTAAAATTAGTTATCGTTTTAATTTTCTCGAGGGAGAAGAGGCAGCAGCAGCAGTGAGCTGTTAGATGAAGAGCTGCAGGCGACAGGCTGCACATCTCCAACCCGCTCAGCAAGCCGGCAAACTTTACCGAGCGTCCTGCTGCTGTGTGGAAATCTATTTGCTCTTTTTACAGCATGAATCAGACTGCAGCTGCTCCTCACGTGGTTTACAAAGTAAGACAAGAGTTTGTTTGTACACAGATGCACCGGTTAATTTAAGATGATGGTGAAAATAATTAGAAAACGCTGACTCTCCATCTGATAAAGCCGAGGAGGGAGGAGACTAGAGACACGTAAAAGGGTTAAACGAGGTCGACGAAAAGATCTGAATGAATCATAACAGCCCATTAAACTGCACATACAGAGTTTTCCTGTGTGTCGTAAAGCCCCGCAGTGGACGGTTTTAATAATGTGACCTGGTGGCACACAATGCAGATGGGAGTGTACAGGCTGCCAAATTTCTTGGCGTTGCTTTTGGTTTACTGTAATGTATCAGCATTAAAGATGCATTAGATTGATTTTTACTGTCCATCTCTCAAAATAACTGTATGAGCAGGGATTTGATGAGGTTGTTCATCAATACTAAATACTCCATTATTCCCTGCCAGGTGCTGAGATTTCTGCCTCTCGAAATCCACATTTTTTGGCTCAAACTCTGAGGTATTGATCTCAGCGAAGCCGGGGACCTGTCAAAGTTGCATTTCTTGTATCTGACGGCGATCAATGCAATTATTAATATTTAATGTTCCAGGAGGATTACGGTATAACGCTGTGATTTATGGACATACCTCCACCCGACACTCGGACCACGGGCTGTACTGCCAGCGGTAGCAGGGTCTGACGGGACAGGGCTTCCACTGCTCCATCTGCAGGGGGCACGGCCGGCCGTCGCCCTGAGACGCCTGGACCACCGACCGCTGGCGCCACATCTTACCTGGAGGGACAGAAATACAATCATCTGTTTATTTTCCTGTGACAATTACGCACCCTTTAGGCAAATATTTGTCACATCTTTACGTCCTTCTCAAACAATAAGTCCTTATTGATATTGCCCAGGTTGTGTTGCCTAATTAAGCACCACTCAAGTCAGAAAAACAAAAAGATCCTCTGCAATCAATTCTCTGTTCCAGTAGTGAAACTTGACTGTTGTGTTTTACCAGCATGACAGAAGATAAATGTCAGGAGGTTTTTTTATTTTTTTTCTAATAAGCCTCTGGAGCTTTTGAGTTCTCGATAAAACAATACAATTATGCAAAGTTCAACAGGGCTGTTTTCTGCACAATAAACTAAATGCACACAGCGTTGGCACGAGCACTGACCGCTGTGGTTTACCGCACATCAGCCATCCATTCCCTCTGTAGAGAGCCCACTTTAAATGCATGTGCATGTGTTTGTTTTGAATGCATTAAATGAATCCGACTGTGCACAACAGCACTTCACTTAACAGAACAGGATTTTCTAAATGGCCAGAAGTACTGCTCTTTCTCTCTGCCGCCTTGATTGGTTCTTGGTCAGCTTGAGTAAAAAGGCTTTTATTCCACATCAGTCAGCAACCTCTGTTTAAATAAATCCAATACATTACAAAACCTCGGAGAGCGTTTGATTTAAGTGCAGAATTGATGCTATGAATTAGCTGAAAGACTCGACGCACAGGCCCTTCACACACATTTTCAAAACGCAACCTTCCTGTGTACCTGTTGTAAACCTCCCACTCTCAAATCGCACAACCCTCCATTTGATGCATATTCCTCTTTCATTTTCGCCCTGCCTCGCCGGCAATCCGCTCACCTCGCAGTGCCCCTTTGCCAACCGACAACACCTTTCAACTCGTGAAACACAAACCGGCCTTCCCACACAGTCACACACACAAACTGTAGCGTTTCATATCCTGTTCCAATACGAGAACCTCCCACACACCGACACGCAAAAGACATCAAATGAGGTCCCCTCTTGCTCCTTTAGCCTTTTTTTAAACTTTTATCTTATTCCTTGTGATTTAACAACTGCTGCAGTACCACCTCTTCTTCAAAGCGCTCCCACAGCCCCGAGGAGCAGGAAGATATAATAGGACAGAATCAATTGTGTGTGAACCGCCGGAACAACAACCAGGCAACAGGAGGACAAATTTTCGCCGGTCATTTGGCAAGACGGTAACACAACAGCCTTCTCTTAAATAAACACTTCCTCTATTCTGCTTCTGTGAGTTTTTCTTGCCAAACGCCTCCAGTGGGAGCAGGAAGTGTCTGATGTGCGACTTTTTTTTTTTTTTTTAGTATGTAACGCTGAGCATGCATGTGTTCACTCAGCCACAACATGCTTTAGTCCCTCACATGCACAGAAAACTGTCCTCTAACAAATGCAAACGTGGGACAAACGGTGCTGCGTGTGAAAGTTCTCTTTATTTTTGCTCTTACATGTTTTTAACTCACACGCGTGCACTCCTAACTCAAAGCTGTCGAGTACAACCACAGTGATTCAGCCACTAAGCTGCAGCTAAACAGAAAGCCTTTGTAATGGAAAAATACTGCATCTGCATGAATAATGTTAAAGCAAGTTTCTCTAAGTTTCATTAAAGCTGAGTGGAAAGGTTACAGGCCCAAAATGTGTTCCCATAACATCGAGGTAAACACTAGTGGCTGTACATGGGAAGAAGAAGTTGTGCATCCCATGTGTTTAGACTATTGATGCCTGATCCTGCGTGTTTAGTCTTCTAAATGTCTGTGAATGAGTACACCCTGTACACCCAGCTGTTGTTTTCCAGCATGGGATTGTTCTACTACCATTGGAGTAAAGACCACGCCTGTACATGTATAAGAATACTATGCTGCCTGCATTCATGTGTATTCTCCTGCAGACTGCTTGCATTCTGTATGACCTGTACATTCAAAGCTTTGAATAAAAGAAGACAAAGACAACTCGGACTACTGGACTTTATGTAGATCATAGAAAATTTCCTCAACACCTTGTCCATCAGTTGTCGTCTCCGTGTGAACGTGCAACAAGGTTCTGGAGGTTCTAACAACGTCTGTAATGAACGAACCAACAGGAGACGAGTGATGTCAAAGGTTAACTCCGCTTGAGTCCTGAATCAGAAGTCCCTACTGTCTGCTCTAAACTCAAGAGTTGAGCCATTTGCCGTTAAGACTGGGAAGTGAGCAAGCTCAGCCTGGTCGATACGGCATCATCTTTTATACGTCTCACCTCCATCAAGCAGTCAAGCTGCCGTCTTTCTTTCTGTTCCTGACTAATGGCACTGAATAACGGCCAGAAAGTAGTTTTGTGGAAACATTATGATGTCACAGTGGAGCTGACCTTTTTGGATATAAAATGTCGTCACGTCATCACTGCAATTCGATTTAATATTTGCATGAAATTCTGTCACACTTGGTGTATAAATTGTTGAGTGTTTCGTGAGGTCACAGTGACCTCTGACCACCGCGATATAATCAGTTCATCACTGGATCCATGTGAAGGGATTTGAAGAAACACCCTGAAAGTGTCACTGAGAGATCTCCAGCCCGGCCGTCACAGGAACATGTGCACAAAACACTCATAGACTATCTTTGATGTAAATCTGGTTTATTATTCATTTTTTTAACCTTCCCGTGTTTGCTTACTTTGGCTTTCACTGCAGTGTTACATCATTATTTCACAGGAAATGTGCAGAAGACGTAAAAATGTAGAAAAGATAAATGATTGTGTGTAACTTATGATGGAATGGTAACCCAGTCTTGTTCGTGAAAGGTCACAGTTTTTATTCTTCCTGCCATAATCAGGTTTTTGATTATTATTGTCACTATTATGAGCTTTTATTTATACCAGGAAAAGCCTCAATGAGAGTTTCTGTTTCATGGGAGCCCTGGAAGCACGACAATAAGCAGAAATACAGGATAAAATACAGAGAATAGATATTCACACAGACTCTCACGTACAGAATAAACAATCATAAGTTAGAGAAAGTGTACAAGTTAAGGTTAAAGAAAACACTCGTATGGCTCCGTGTTGGGCACCAGGGCCTTAAACCCGTCACATAGGATCAGACGATCTCATCTCAACAGGTTTTGAGTTTTGTTCCAATACTTGGGTGCATCATATCTAAAAGCTTGTTTCCAGATCTCAGTTTTAATGAGTGTGTTTTCCAAGACTATAACATCTTGAGGAATTGATCTATGATTAAAAAGACAAGTGAGACATTCAGGTAATTTTCCTGACAATGCTTTGTAGATGAATAAAATGCAATGCTGCCGATGACGGCCACCCAAACCTTCTGATGGAGTAAACAACAATTTGTTCTGTAACTGAATCACACTGAAAATGACTGAAGATAAAGATGTGCAGCTTAAATAACGGCTCTCACCTTCCAGTCCGCAGGTCTGCGAGCACTCTGACCAGGACGACCACTCCGACAGCTGGCAGTTGACGGGACACTCGACCACACAGGAGATGTTCATCTGCCACTTTTTCTCCAAATCCAACTGCAAGCGCGAGTTTGAAATGAAAGAAACGTTTCGCGACACATCATCAAATCACTCACACAGTCATTACGCGGCAAACTCAATCTGTTACGGCCACGACGCCGCTTGACCTCTCAATACTGCGATTCCCAGAAGCCTTTGTTCTGGCAAAGGGCAGACTGCTGGGCAGCATCAGGCCAGCAGAGTTGGAATATCAAGGCTGCTGTGAAAGCCATTCTGACACGATGTGTTTTTGTGAACGAGCCAGATGATGAAGTGGGCCAAGGGTTAAATAGCTGTGGGGACGGCTCTGCCACAGCCCGCCGGCTACAATTACAGCGAGCTGAGACACATTATGAATGAATAAAGCGCTCAGCCTGGAGCAACGACAACAATCTCTGCATGGGAATACTGCTGAATATTTCATGTTGCTGTGGGCCTAATAGTACTGGAAGGGGATGGTAATATATTGTAATGAGTGATGTGATTAAGTCATTAAGAAAAATTAGTGTGTCAAAGAAGGAAAGTACAAAAAAACTAAGCTGCCCAAGAAACAAAAGGAGATACTTGAGGAATTTTTTGCAAGTCTCACCTCCTCACAGAATTTCATGTCGACTGATTTCCCGTCGCTGCGAACGCAGTCGAGCATCCGGGTCTTGATGCCGCTTCCGCACACGGCGTTAGGACTCAGCTGACAGGTACTCCAGTCTGAAACGACACAAACATGTTCACACATGGCTGTTCATGTTGGAAAAAAACAGCAATCCAACATCAGCTCAGAATAATCTACAGTGCAGAGAGGCTGAAACACCACAGACGGTCCCTTACAGCAGAGTATTGTTTAAAACGTAATGCCACATAATACCGCCAAGTCTTTTTGCCTCTGAGCATCACAAGTTGACTTTGCTGCTTTTTCTGAATTTGTTTCTTAAACCCTGAAGCCAGCAGCTGGGAACAGACAGCCAAGGACTTCGGCTGCCATTCCCCTCCTGAGCAAGGTGTTGTGGGGATCTTTTGAAGTCTGGCCCCCCCACCGAAGACCGATTTGCTTTGGGAGACCACACAGCTCCGTGGATTACTGGGGCCCGCAAAACCCTCAACTGCCATGAGGTGCTGACTCATCGGTTTGCAGTGTAGGGGACACTGTTGTGGTCAGGAGAGCTGAATCAAACGGCTGAGCTGTTGATATATCGGCTGATCTACGTTCCTGCCCTCATTGGCCACGAAAAGAACAAGATCGCAGACACCAGCAGCAGAAACGGGTTTTCTACGTTGGGGTTCTGGGCTGTTTCTCAGAGCGAGGGTCAGTCACTCTGGAGGGGTTCACAGTAGAATCGCTGCTGCTCTGCATTGGAAGGAGCCAGTTCAGGTGGTTTGGGCATCTCCAGCCGGGAGGAGAGCCTGGGTGAGGAGCCGCTGGCAGGATTATTTATGGAGGAAAGTCTGGCCAGCTCTGCTTCGGTCCACGAGATCTTGATCCAGACAGATGGTAGAAAACGGACGGATGGACGTTTCTTACACGTTGCAATCAGCTCAGCAAATATCTAGAAAAGTCCCGCAGACAAACCAGCTGACTGTGTCCTCGTCTCTTTAGCAAAATGTCTTAAGGATGGCAAATGATCTATCTGGGACATCTTCATGTTACAAAACCAGACTTTCAGAGCTACATCAGGTCTCACACAGGGAGGAATGACAATATGAACAAACATGTTAAAGAACTTCTGCCAGTGCAACTTAAGGAAAAGTTCACTTTCCAACCATACAGACGTAAGAGCCGGTACAAAGTGTTTTGGGTCGAGCCAAAGTCAAGCAAAAAAAATCCAAATATTTACAGGAAAAGGTCTTAAAATTGAGCAAGTTAAACCTTCAGTGCATCTAAATACAAGACAAAGCTGTAATTTTTGACTAGAACCTGCATTAACTGATTTTCTGGACACTTGTAGGCAGCGGAAAGGAAGCTGTGAACAACGCTGACATATCAGCACCGAGTTACTGTAGGTGTGAGTTAACAGTTGCTTCTGTACACATTCAGCAGACACCAGCCAACAGGAGCATTTATTTGGAGTTGTGTTTCGGGCCAACTGATGAAGCCCAATATTCACTCTTGCCCGAGCTCTGCATAAAACAGCTCCTGAAGGAAATATTGGCTCTTTAGCTGCTAAACGCTCCAACTGGTTGCTAACTTTATGGATCTGCTAACCGATGCTGGACAGAGTTTTTGTGCTAAAAACAGCTGATCTGTCTGCAAATAAAACTCTCACAACACAGAGTGGAAACCAGAATTATAGACTGTAAGCAGCTAAATGCTCCAAACACAGAAGGGAATGGCTGAGTTGGGTGATGCTCATTTGTGCCAAGTAACAACATTGTTATGTAGTCTGTTGGTAATCTAAAAATATGAATTAAAGCAGCTTTACATTCTGCTCAGGTCTAGAGTCTACAGCTCTGGCCGCTCACGCATTTCCATCCATCCATCATCTCTACACCTTCATCCTCACTATGGTCGCTGGAGTCTATCCCAGCTGACTGAGGGTGAAGGCCGGTTCACCTGGACAGGTAACCAGTCTATCACAGGGCTACACTTAGAGACAGACAACCAAGCACACTCACATTCACACCTACGGACAATTTACAATCACCAATTAACCTCAGCATGTTTCTGGACTGTGGGAGGAAGCCGGAGAACCCGGAGAGAACCCACGCTGCACGGGGAGAACATGGAGACTCAGAAAGATCCTGGGTGTCCTCACCGGGACGCCAACCGGCGACCTTCTAGCTGCGAGGCGACGGTGCTAACCACCAAGCAGCCCCTCACATATTTTTTATTTCAAATTTCCAGCCTCTTCCAGACGCAAACTACCAAACTTTCTGAGTATTTTTCAAAACATGTTAAACTTCTGAGTACCAATGGCTAGATGTTCATCGTGGGAAGAAATTGCTCTAATATCCAACTGCTAACAAACATTGTGCATTTGTTTGCCAAATAACTGCCAGAAGATTGTAGCTCATACAAATCAATTTACACAAAACTCAGACAAGTTCAGTGTATAGCGTGTTATTCAAGCTGCAAAGTTAAAAGAGTGAATTACTTATTTTTAGAAATGTCATATTTTACAAATATAACTGAAGAAATAGTCTGGAACCACAAATACTCTTTTATTTTCCTTTTTTCCATCCAGTTGTAGAAACCCTGCCTACACAAGCCTGCAAAGGTTGGAATGGTTGTGATGTAGAGCAGCGGTCCCCAACCACCGGGCTGTGGACCGGTACCGGGCCGTGGGTCATTTGGTACTGGGCCGCAGAGATAGAATAAAAACATTTTATTGGTTTATTTTTATTTCCAGCGGAGTCTGCAGGGTGTTTTATTTTGAAACATGACTAGCTCGTCTTCCCGTCACTTCCGTTTGTGTTCGTTTCCGCACTTGACTGTCAGTTTTTATGCCCAGCTGCTAAACGAAGCCGTCAGTCAACAACAAACGTCTCAGGAGAGCTGCTTTGGAAAGTGGGAGAGACTTGATACTGAGACAGAGAAACAGTAAACATGTTAAGCAATAAAAATTAATTTTATTTATTTATGAAACTTTTCAATAGAAAAAAAAAAACAATTATTATTTGTTATGTGCGTAATGACCGGTCCGTAGAAAAATTTCTTGCTTCAAACCGGTCCGCGGTGCAAAAAAGGTTGAAGACCGCTGATGTAGAGTATTTACAACTGATGGCAACGACATGAAAATCTACCAGCAATCATGTGACTTGTTAATCCTGGCATTCACCACTCAAACTTTCTCCGGTTTTACAGGTTTATGATCCTCACAAGATCAGCGTTTAGAGCACACAACTATCCCACATCCAGTGAATATCTACCAGTGTTGACTTAACCACCCTGGGTGCAGGCAGAGTTAGAAGGCAGAGATTTAGACGGGAGCAGGAAGGGAGATGTATTCAAGTCACAAGAAACCACCATTTCACCGGTGTTCTGCGTCTGTACGAGGACGTGTTTTCAGTCGGAGCGGGATGACGTGGCGCGACAAAACACAAGGAGACGCCGTTCAAAGGTGTTAAAAAATCTTCAGCTGTCACGAATTCCTTACACTTCAGAACGAATAACTGGCAAACAGTGAGAACAGGCGTTGTGTCTTAGCGTTTTCGGGGTGAACACAGAGAAAGACACTGTCGCACCACATTGCCTCGTGTTGCTTTGAAAGTCGCTTAGCTTAAGGGTTTATATGCTGATGTACAGTCTGTCGCAGGAGGCACAGAGACTTTTACAGAAAATATCCATCAATTTTTTTTTTTTTTTTAGATTTTTGATATTGACACAGTGCAACACTATCAAATTAATTACCAGCCAGATTGCTGACGCACACTAAAACTCTCAAGCCATCACAGAACCGTATCCGGATAGATCTTTGACGCTTTACATGCCGTGCATACAAATTAGCCACTTTAGGCTTCGAGATGACTCAGCAGAACGGGGAGTATGCCTCGCCGTTCTGTGAGCTCGACTTCAGCTCATTACCTTTGTTGCGTTACATACTTCTTCTTCTTCTTCTTCTTCTGCCATTGTCTTAAAATAATCAATGCGTTCTTTGTTGTTTGTGTGCAGCTCAGTGTCTCTGTAGCTTCTGGCTGGTGAAGATCACTGTCGATAACAGATGACTACTTTGTCAGCAAAGAGGCCATTTAAGGTTTCTAACAGCTCACTTTAATCCAATAAATCTGGCTGCCATCAGTATCCTTTCATGCCAGCATGGAGCTGCGTGGCCGTATGGTCTGCTTCGAGTTTCCGCCTCTCAAAAATAACCAGCATTTAAAAGCAGCATCAACACAAGTTTTTCCCCGAGAAATATTCTGAGCTTTAGGAGGCTGAATCGAGCCACCCTCTCACCTCCAAAAAATGATTTCTGTGAAGAGAAAAGACAACATTTATTCCAGACTTAGGGGTGCCAATGCCTCTAAACAACCACAGTGTGCATGCTGTTGTTAAAAAAAAAGGCACACTGCAACAACAGGGAGGCTGAGGTATCACTCATGAAGTGTGCCATCCGCTGACAAAGATGAGTGGCTGTTTTTAGCTGCAGCGAGCTCGTTTGCAAGCTCAACTCGGGGAATTGTGTCGCCTTCTGCCGAGGAGCTTTGTGGCACTCTGGGGACTGAGAATAGGGAGATTGCAACAAGAAAAAGCGACAGTAAGAGACGGAAAGAAAGACAGTGAGAAAAGGAGAGAGGAGTGCAGGAAGGAACAGTTTCGACGGTCTCTGCATCAACAAAAAAAAAAGAGGACGCTTTATCCAATAATAATCTCTGCTTGTATATTATGTACATATACCCTGGGATACCTGCTTGCCACTGTGAACTCAGCAGTAGGGATTATATGTCACGTCTCCCTGCGTACAAGACAAAGGAGGAGGGTGGGCTGCTTCACAAAGCACAACAGAAGCAACACAACAAATCCTAACGACACACATAACAATGCCAGACTCTGTTTCTGCTCATGTGCAGGGAAATAGTTTCTTACAGTTTCCAGAATGAAATGTGAGAGCGTGACCTCCGTGATGTCCTGCAGATTAGAGAGGACAGCTTGGGAAGGCTGCCAGCTCAAATCTCTTCTGGAAATGTTACAGTTAAAATTCAATCCAACGTGTATTTTTCCGCGCTCGGCAATCACCGCAGAGCAGCCAATGAGCAAGGCACAGTGGCCGACAGCCAAGCGTTTTACTGCGGGGGTTTGAAAGCACTGTGCGAACCTTTGCTTGAGAAGTCGAGCTAAACTGACAAACAACCGACTAACTAAAAAATTATCCTGATATCAGAGACGAGTTCTGCGAAGAGCAGCTGTACGCAGGACTCCAAACAGCTCCATTAGCATTACGTCATCATGGTGCAAAGTTTGACAGAACTTTGCGAGGTCTGTAATTATCTTACACCGAGAAACAAAAGGCTGGTGAAAACAGAAATCAGATGAGTCATTTATCGATTGCTCGTCTTGCTGTTGCAACAAATGAGGATTCTGAGATGGAGTCTATGCTTGCAGCGCTACTCAAAGTGCGCCTCATAGCTCACATTTGAAGAGCTGTGATTCGGTTATAATTGAGAAACCCGACACACCCACGGCATCAAACATCCAAACACAAAGCACCGGCAGCACCGCCATGTTGAGAAGACAAACGGCTGTCAATAAATTCGGCTCCGGTCTCCTGTCCGTCGTGGCTTTGTGCACAATTTCAGGCTCTCCAACATGTTCTTTACCTGTGATGTTGTAGAAGTAGTTGAAACAGTTGAGGTTCAGGCTGCAGGCCTCTTTGTCGGTCATCTCTGGACACTCTCTGCCCACGCTCGGGGAACGTAGCGTGTACGCCGTCCGCACTCGATTGTTGGTTCTGGTACACGGCTGTAACGGAGACGTTTCATTAAAAACCGGAGCCTTTAGAATATGTGAATAATTAAGCAGAGAGTGACTGAAAACAGACATATCCCTGAGCTGCAGCGTTCATGACGTCCATCTTTGCTGTGCCAATCTGCCTGTTTATAAATTATTTCAGCACTTAGAGGGACACGATTAATTTAAGACTTCATGTGTTTTTCTCTGTGGTCTTGTTCCCTGGAAGGATGTCGTATCACTGCTCAAAACTAAAACTCCAAAAAACACAAAGGTAAATAAAACAAGTAGATCTTCCTTCACGTGTCCATCCCAGAATGTGGAATTTGACTTTATCCTGCAGGAGATGACAGGAGTCCTGAAACACACATTCTGCTGGAATTATAAACCAGCAGATTCTACACGGTCATTGCTTGCAGTGGTGAGAGTTGGGGGAGAAAATGACAGCTTTTTGAATAACTCCATTGCTGGCATGATGAATAAAACATGTTGGAGGCCCCGCTGGTGCCACTGCAGACTCCATTCGAGATTGGAATTGTGGGAAGTCGGTGCGTCGAGCACTTTGGGAGAGAATGGGGTGTGATTAACAATGGCCAGGGCGCTGCTGTGAGAACAGCAGGTAAAACCGGAGCAGTTAAAGCAGCTTTTTACCACGAATCAGAGATGTCAGAGGCAGAGGAGCTGAACAGGATGTTCTGACAACTTACAAGTTTTTGCAAAAGGAAGAACGAAGATTGCGTACGTGCCGTAGCCTGTAGGTGTGTGCTTTGCTACTGTGATGAAATCAGAGGTTGCTGTCTCTTCATAAAGCTCGAATTCAAAAATCACTCTGTTTAACAGAAAAAGGTCTGAGGCCATGATGTAGAGGCGGATAAACGGTCTCGTTCTACGTATGATACCGTCAGCTGGCCAGTGAAATGGACATTTATCCTGGTAGTATTGAGTGTTGTGTCTATTCTGAAAATATAACAAATCATTTTCAGTTTGTTGTTGTCTGGCAAATCATGTTCACAAGCCAGGCATAATATTGTTCCCTTCAGCTTTATGTTCGTCACCGTATTACTATTGAAATATATGCAGGTGTGGGCGTATCACAAAGCGTTAGTTGAAAACCTGCTCCTGAGTTGTGGGTCTTTATCATAAATCTTCTCGAGTCCCTGCTGAATGCACAGTGAGTACAGTGTAATATAGGTGATATATAAGCTATTTTTCTCCTGCTTCCCAGTTCATATATCTCTTTTATTCCTCCTTGGTGGACGAGAAATAACCTGTTGACAAAGATTCACACACTGCTCACAATAATACAGTGCAGCTACGCTTTGAATTCCTTGAGCCGCAGAGAAAATATTTCTGACATGAAAAAGATATCAAGATAAATCTCAGTGGGCTTCACTGAAGTCTGACGTTCCTGTATCTACTCTGTGCCAGACAGCTGAGCTGCTGCTTTGTGATCTGAGCTCAGCTCTCACCAAGCTGCAGCGGCTCCAGGTGCCCCAGTCGTTGAGGACGCAGTCCTCGGGGCAGGGCAGCCGGCTCTCCCGGGCCCCCAGGGGCATCTCCTCTGGATCACATAGGTAGTCCTCCACAGACTCCGACGGGCCATCTATGGTGTTGAGCATACACCTTTGGGATCGGGCAAGAAACACAGAGTTTGACCTTATTTTTACAATGCAGCTGTTGTGCTCTGAAGAAAGAAGAGTCAGACGTTGTGTTTTAATTGGACGTGGAGTTGGCAGGTACATGAAGCACCGGACAACTTGTGTATTTCTCCCCCAGAGGGATGCGTTCCTCGGGGTAAGTAAGGTCAGTTTAATGACAGAAATAACTTGGCTTCATCCTTATTCTTACTTTCATCTTATGTTCTAACCAAGTGAATGAATGCATTTCAATAGAGAAGCATCTAAGTCATTATTTTAATGTTTTTTTTTAATCAAATCCCGGCTCTCCTCAACAGCCACAGCCAAGTTTTTGGGATCCTTTCATCCATATTACAGCTTTTCATACTCAAGTTGACACGATAAAGACGAGGCAACACTGTCACTGTTTTCACTGATAGTTTCACCGTCTCTAGCAGTGACTCAGCTGTGGCCATTAAGGTTTTACTCACCCTGACGGTACATCAGAATCACCAGCAATGATGTAAACGTGTCAACTTGACCATTACAAGGGCTGTAGAGGTGACGATGACCCCTGTGTGTGTGTGAGAGTCTGGGTTTGAATCCACTGTTGTCAGACCTGATGTTATGACCCATGAGTCTATTGTAGTGTGATTACAGTGCACATCTGAACATGTGTGGAACGTAAATTCAGCAGTTTGGCAGCTGAAGTATGTTAGACCGGTCAGGCAAGCCAAAACAGCATTTTCATGTTTACCTAAAATCAGGAAACCTAATTTAAATACACATTCACATAACTGGCATTTGTTAACGGTGTGGCACTAACTATTGGTGGACTGAATGTATGACGTGTAAAGTAAAAGCAAACAGTCAAATTAAATCTATTTAAAAAGCAGCAAATTGTCTTATTGTCTGGCAAGTTAGTTTTATAGATGTTTGTTGAAAAAAAACACTTGATGAAATATTTCTTTTGACTAATCATATACCAACAAAAACAACAACATCAACAGTCTTAGTTGCCACAACATGCCACCAGAACATCATCAAGACACCTTAGCGTTGATTCTCCAAGTGTCTGGAACTCTAGAGGAGGGAATAAACACCAGAAGCGCTGTTTAACACATCGGGTCAAAATCTTCAGAAGGTGTCAACTTGGGTCGGGATCTGGTGACTGTAAATGTCACAGATCATTTTCATTCTCACCAAACTATTCAGTGACCCTTCATGTCCATTGTCATCCTGAAGGAGACAACCTCCGTCACCATAAAAATGTTATTATCCTACAACAACAATGATGACTTGATTTGCAGTGGCTCTTCGATGGAAGGGGACAAGCAAACCCAACCATGCCAGCAGAATGTCCCCCCAGAGTAAGAGATGGTCAAGGGTTCAAACTGTTGCTCTAACTCGTCAACAGTAAATAATGTCAGCATATAATCACGGTGGAATGAGAGGCGCGCTGACAAATACCTGACTTTCCTGGTCTGGACACCCTCGCCACAGTTCTCTTTCAGATCCACGTTGCTGACTTTCCACACGCTCCACGGCTCGGCCACCCACACATACTGGTTACAGTCGCTCTGACACGGCACCACTTCGTACACCTGAGGAGAACACGGTCGACGCTTTAAGTTGAATCGAGCAGCAAATCAAACGTAACAGACGCCAGAGAAAATGTCAGTGGGTTTGGCTAACGAACAAACATGACAGATACGGTCAAAGAGAAATAAGAGGCCTCTACGGATATATTTTTAAAAATATTTTGTCTTAGCCGTGCAAGTTTGTCAGTTAAGTTTTGCCTAATACGCAGTGATTTCTTGGCTCAGCTCTCTGAGGTTTAACTCAGCCAACAAGATTATTTCTGCCCCCAAGAGAATCTCTGCCTGTGAGAGATGTCTGTATAAATACAACTCCAGCATGCCATTGCATCTTGTTTACTTACAGTGGGGATATTGTGACTGTGTACATTTATCTGTCAGTGACCCACTGACATCAGTGACACTTAACATCTGTGACTACATTATGAAAAGCTGAGGAAAGCAGCTCTTACCTGGGCCTGCAGCAGTGAGTCACATCCAGCAAGCATTGGGGTGGATTAAAAGGAGACAGATGGATTAATGAGCACAAGCCAACTGTTCATATAGTGCAGAACCTATGATTAATGCAACATTCGAGAGGACATAATCAGAAAAGCCTCTGGCATAAATACCTGTATGAACTTAGCCGGTACACACACACACACACACACACACACACACACACTGCCAGGCACAGATCAACACAACCGTAATCTGCATCTGCTGACACTCGCAGGCCTGCAGAGCATTTTTGCAAATCATGGAAACCTTAAGGAGTCAACTAGCACACGTTGGAGCATTAATGTGTTGGATAGGATCTATTTAGAGCACCCATTGCTTTGCGCGGTGCCACAGCTCTGCAGAAAATGAGTGCAGGAATAATGAGGAGGAGGTAAAGGAAAGCTCTGCAGACTTAAGTTTATTGTTCATTAATAATTAATTTCTCTCTCTCTAGTGTTGGCTGTATAACACTCGTAATAAGTTCAGATATATTGTAGCACAGTTCATAAATATTCCAGAAATAATGGTGAGCAGAGAAAGCTCCAGTTTCTACTTTCATCTCCTGCTGTGCCAAAAAAAAAAAACCTCCTGGTTGGCGCACAGATGAGTTTGTGTTTCACTGTCGGTACCTGGTTGATGTGGTCCAGTTTGGGACAAGGCCGGCCACCGTTGTACGGCTTCTCTCGAAGCCATTTGGAGCGAACTTTGACTCCACTCCCACAGGACTTGCTGCAGCGTGACCAGTTGGACCATTCACTGAGTTTACAGTCTGAAGGACAAGGGATGATGCAAGCCTCCTCAATGTAACCTGAAAGAAGGACAAAAGAGAAGGCGTTTGGCAGGAATAAAACCAGCTTTCTTTATTTTTTTATTTTTATGGTGGAGGTTCAGGTTGGTCGTTTGTGACCTGTAAGGAAAGACTATTTGTGAGCTGTAAGGTGGCTTCATGGAATAAGAACTGATTTTCTACTTCCCATTCTGTTTCAATAAATTATTGGACAGCACACTGTAGTCAGCTACTAATTATTTTAGGAGGTAAAAGCGTGCACCAGGAAATCAATTCAGAAGAAATTTGCTTTGAAATGAAACCCTTTGTTCTCTCCCACCAGCAGGATCTCGGCCGCAAAAGTTGAACTGCTTTGGAGAAAAATAGCCAAGGTCTTGTTTCTTCAAGTCCTTAAAATAAGCTTGTTTTCTTCACCTAGTACAAAACTACATTTGTCCTAATTCCCAAAGCTTAGTTTTCTATCTAACAAAAGAGCATTAAAGTTGAGGATCTCTTTAAAGGCCAGATGGACCAAACACCCAGCTGTAAACTATTAACCGATACTTCACAAACCAATCTAAATGCATCTATTGATTTTTTTTTCCACATTCAAAGGCCTGGTTTTATAGTTTGATTTATAAAAGTCTAAAAATCCACCAAAGCAGTGTTTGGCTTTATTATTTCAACCCACTTATCCACAGCTCACGGGGTCACGACACAATCAACAGGGTGGTGTGTGTTTTTTTGGATCATTTTCCATCCCTGGGCTGTAATTTCATTCATTTCCAGCAGCGCTCACAGGCCAAGTTTTAGTCAAATGTGCTGAAAGAGATTATTCCTTTGAACCTCTGGTTTTGTGCATTACAACACATTTTTAAAGATTTCTTTCACTTGCTCAAATAAAATTCTGTTTAGTAGACAGAACATTTTTAGGCTTATGTAACAGCCCCGACCTGTAAATCAGTTTAGCCTTTGATTAAGAAAAATCGATGGGGTGAACAAGCCGGGAAAACAGAGCGTCTCACAGGAGGCCCGACCGTTTCCGATCTCTAATGTGAGACTGCTCTGCTTTTTAGAGAGAGACATGTGGTGCTCTGCTGATGACAGGTTTGCTGAAAACACACTTCCCACGATCTGAGGAATCCCCCACCGGCCAGTCAGACCTCACAGATCAATTCTGTCAATATATCGTGAGCATTTCTCTCACTTTTTAAAGCGAAGGAAAGTCTCACTGTTGTGTTCGTACGCAGCACCGTCATGCTTCACACTGACACACTGAGCTTCTGGGTGAAATAAAACCGATCCAGGCCGGGCCACTGAGTCTGCTTTCACAATCTTTCAGGTTTCCCAAGTTGGTCCGACAACCGAACAAAAAACACCTCAGTGGTCAAAGCCCCTCTGACCTTTAGGCCAGCGCAGCTCATGCCAGGTGCAGAAACACAGGACGAGGACTTTGTTGGTGTTTGCATGTCGCTACAAGCAGGAATGTCATGATACCAGATGTTTGGTAAGCTAACAGTACCACTGAGTTCCACCATTCCCAAAATATGATACCACAGAGGAAAATAAACCAATGAAATGATTGTATTCAACTATTTTCGTCTAAAATATCTTGGGATGGAGCCTTTAAGTAACAAAAAGACATTAGTGTCATTCAAAACAATATTATGCCTACAAATAAAAAGATAATTCAGGTTTTCATGGTGATTCTATTGTAGCGCCCAGCTGCCTGACCTATGAAATAATGAACTTCAAATTCAGAATAGCTTCGGTGTAATAAATGAAAATATTAACATTAATAAAAACGTAGCCTTCAAGTATTTAAAACAAACAATGGTATCTTATGAAACTCGCTCATCCAGTGTCCTTGGAAGGACTTTCATGTAAGTTCTGTGATATTTTCTGAGTCCCCGCAAAGCTTCAGATTTAGTTTCTAAGTATGTTTTGGTCTTTTCTTTGCCTGTCTCTCCTGCTCAGCATCCTCATGTTAATAATGCTTAAAGATCATTAGGAAAACCACAGAAGCTGCTGCTGCACATCATAAGCTAACACACACAGAGTTAATGGGAATGTCGGTGCAGCACTCAGCTCACATTATGAGCTAATGCTACATTAGCCTAAACAAGCGGTTGACCCATACAAGCAACAGATCCACCTGCAATCCCAAATATATCATCCCCCCAGAGGCTACCTATGGCAGCTGTGGTACTTTAAATACCTCCATTACCATACAAAATAAGTACCAGTGTGTTGACCTACTACTTAAGTATCGTTCCTCCAAAGGCTCAAGCTATTGTCAAGAAGACATACAGAGACCAGCATGTTTAGGTTTAATGAGCAGGATTTTATAACTCTGAAAAGGTTTCACACTCCAAATATTTTGTATTTTCCATCTCACCCAATGTTTACTTACGTCACTTTAACAAATGGCAAAAGCTGAGCTACTGTCAACCTTTTTGCCCAGTGACCCGTACTGGTCTTACTGGAATCACTCCGGGGGGCGTCACACTGCAGCGCAAATGTTGGTCTGAACACGGACTTAGCCCTGCTCACGAAGCGCAGGGATCGCCGCTGCCAAAAGTAGTAGCATCTTGCTCAAAAAACACTTTAGCAAGACGGATTGTTGGAGCTTAAACATGGCGTTTAAACTTGGCTCAGCTGGAGAGGACAGCTGAAGGGTGATCTTGCCGCCCACTCTGCTGGCTCAAAACTGAGCAGTAAGATTCCTTGAAGCTAATATGATTAGAAAATAAAAAAGCCTCTTTAATCCAGTCAAAACTGGAGTCCTGGCAGCACCCTGGCAACAGCTAAATACCCAGTGACATAATGATCCTACACTCACGCACATAGACACACACGCACATGCACACATGTACACACTTATGCCTGACCTCCTTTTAAACTGGTGCCCTGAATCCAGATCAGCATCTCCACATCCACACCTTGCCGCGTTCAGCATGGCCTCTGAAATAGCTTCACGACCTCTGATCTCCCTACAGCCAAGTCCAGTCATTCTAAATCACTGACGCTGTCACTTGATGGTTCATCCAGTGCAAATGCTGCAGCACCTCCGCCTGCAGTTCACTTGTAGTTCAACTTATATAATCTCGTTAGGTGTCTTGCCTCCTCTGGAGGCTTTTGGGCTCAGTCCAGGTAGGAGATCACTCCTGTTGCCTTTACAAGTCAACTTCAACTTGGCACAAGATCCTGCTGTAGTTTCCAAAGCAGTTGTCACTGCTGTAGAAAGCTTACTTAACTGGCTAAGTGCCCAACTTCACCTGACAGTGTAAACAGTTTTACCGCCCATACGTCCTAATGATAACTGGGATGTGCACTACACTGCCTCAAGAACAAGCTTTGTAGATGCATCTAAAATCTATAAGCTGCATGTAACCCATACAATTAGGATCTTTAAGTATCATTTAAACAAATGACTTGAGTTTAAACTGGACCTCATCATTATATATAACATGCTGCTAACAATAAGGGATTTATGCATCCTTAAATAACTCTGTTGCTTTTTCTCTGCAGATGCAGGAAGCCATCAGCATTCCAAACATGTTGGCAGGATTTTTAGTCTTGAAAAGGATAAACTGATGTAGAAGCTGAAGACAACCACATAATGTGTTAATTATAAAAAAGTGCTGCAGATTGATCCCCTGCCCCAAAACGTATCGGCTTAACAACCCCCGAGAAACTCTACTTAGTTGTTTACTAGATTTTTCAGTTTTGTACAAGATAATAAAAATGTAGTTGCTGTAGACATGGCAGGTCTGGGACCAAACACGTAACAATGGATTTTATTACACGAATGTGTTCTTCTCACAGACTTATTTAGGTTTAACCCGACGTATTAGCTGACTTGTAAATGACACATACCTTTTGGCAAACCATCACTGATTACAATGCCGGACTAATAATTGCAGCACTAACAGTTACACCATTTATTCTGGCTATCCAGGCCGGATCTCATTGGTACTTGAGACCAAATGTATTCTGCTCTACGGGTGGTCGGTCTGAGAAGCTTTACATGAAATTTTTGGCTCCAGAAATCACATGACTGCCTGATTTTGACCTGTTGCACCCTCAGCGCCACAATCTCCAAGGCAGCCTAATCCCCGGGTGCTCTGAAAAATACTGACACTCTGCGCTCAGGTTGGCGAAAAGAGGAACAAGAAAAGGCCAGAGGGACACTTTGGTGTTCATTACTAACCTTATCAGACATGACCTTGGTCCTCAGACCCTGACAGCACACTGCTAACATGTTGCAGCAGTCATAACAGCAGCAGTTCTATGACCCAGGCTCTCAGTGCGTTCCTCCTGTCATTACAAATACGGGTCGTCATGCACCGACAAATCTGTTCACTGCAGAACTGTTCAAGTTCACGGGTCCCTTTTACCCTTTATGGCTTCCCACAGTGAGTGCATTCCCTCCTCCTTTACCACATCCTGCTAAGATAAGGCCACGGCCTCCTGAGTCACCCCGTAGTACTCAGTCACAGTGAAGGTCAAAGCCTCGCGGGTTGTTTATAGTCATAAAGATAATATATGAGGAATGTCAAACATATAGGGCACAGCAGGGGACTTAACGCTAGATTTACCCCTGACAACACCAGTGCCTTTGTTCACAACGTAATGGTCCTATAGCCATTTAGATCTAATAGTTTCTTCAGCATAGTTACATTTGAGGAAGCAGTTAAGAGTATTTACACTTCCTGATGAGCCTTTAAATGGTTTTAGTGAGCAGATGCAAACAATTAAGCTCTAAACTACTCATGGTTATGTCAAATTTTTGATTTGTAGGGATTTTTCTGGATGGAAGTGACAAAAAAGTCACAAACAAGTGACAAAAGACTGCAAGATATTGTTGTAGGAGTATTAAGGATAAATTTTAGCTAATTTTTTTTTATTGTTTTTAACACGTTTTTTAAGCATTTATTTGCTTTATTCACAAACAGTTTCTTTTATTTGCTTAATAGCTTTTTTGCACGTCTCCATTTGGGTTTTGGAAAGCCTATTCTGTGACAATCTCCAGGTCTTTG